TATTTGTTATAAATATTTAAAGTTTGAAATCGGCGCTGAGACATCCTATATTTGTCGTATAATATGACAAACTTGAAAAGTGGAGCATGAAAGTACTAAGCTGGTAACCAAGGTACAAGGAAAAAAGAAGACAACTTAGAAGGCAGAATAGACCAAATTAAGGACACAGCAGCTTCGTGGCTCAGTGCAAAGAGGAATGGCGATATAAGATATATACAATCAAAATCAATGTCTTTGAGTGTTTTTAAAATAAAAGGCATTTATTATTATGACAAACGTGCCAAAATGAGGTTCGCCTTTTAACCAGCGCGTTGCATCATTCCTCTCACTACCCCCACCACGGGTGGTTACTAGGTCTCACCGTCTATAAACGGTTTACTAGAACAAAGAATTCATCATGCTAATAATCCCCAATACCTTAATCTTGTAGACAATAGTCCAAATATATTTTTATTAACCTATGGCTGTACAAAACGAATCCAAAAAAAAAACTAACCAAAAATAATCAAAGTCGATTTAAGTTGCCGTCCTGCACCGATTTTGTGGGCCAAACAATCTTGGATTCAAACTTTTAAGCTTCGAAGTATTTTCATATACTATACACGGGATTCCCTATCAACATTCACTTTTTTATGTAATAGGAGGCAAACGGGCAGGAGGCTCACCTGATGTTAAGTGATACCGCCGCCCATAGGCACTTACATTACCAGAAGGCTGGTTATTCTTAAGTGTTCACGTAACTTATGATGTGGTGTCCAAGTGGCTTCAGCGTGCGACTCTTATCCTTGTGGGTGTAAGTTCGATCCCCAGCAGCAATGGACTTTAACATTCGCTCGAACGGTGAAGGAAAACATCGTGAGGAAACCGGCTTGCCTTTATACCCAAAAAATTGTCATGAGTCAGACAGGAGCCTGATCACCTACTTGCGTATTAGATTGATAAATGATCATGGAACAGATACAGAAATCTGAGGCCTAAAAAAGGTTGTAGCGCCACTGCCAGTTCTCAGACCTGAAACGAGGACTGACAATATACTTACCATCATTTGTTTTACGATAGATTGTAAGGAACTGCTACGATAACATTATGTACTACTGCAAGCTTAGTTTAGGATCCTATTAAATTAAAAAAACGATTGAAAAATGTATAGTTTAAAAAAATACATGAAAAGATGAGTTTTATGTACCTTATATAAAATTTAGTTATTGTTAGACTACAAAAAAAAATATCCTGGCGCGAATCAACCTATAGTGTTTGAACGAAGGATTTTTCTATATGCAATGTATAAAAAATATATATTATTAAAAAAATTTATATATATATATATATATATACTTACTATTTATATACTTATAAAAGCAATATTCTTTTTAAAAGTTCACAAAAGAGAGTGCGACTTTACATGAATTACAATCTAGCCAATACAACAATTATCACTAATAAGTAATATATTGAAATAAATAACTAACCTTAACATATAATAACTTAAATATATTATTAAAAGGAGTCCTTTTAGGCCTCGACTAAGGGGACGATGTTCCGAAGATACAGGCACTGTTCCCCCTTTGAATAGCTAGACTAATTCTTTGTCCATGTAGCTACCATCTCTTCGGTCTCCTGTGATGTCGACTAACCTTTTTGATATTTCTTTAAATTGCCTTAAAGCGCTAGGACCCCACAGACCAAGGGTCTCGACAGTCGACACCGAATGGGACAAAATCATATTTTGAGCCTAGACCCCAGTATTTGCATGCTTTAGCTTTTTAGTAATATTATGTTGACATACTTTTCTACAATACTAGAGAAAGACCTTTATTTTTTTTTTTTCTTTTTTTTCATTTTTTTCCTCTTTTTTTTTTTGTTAGCTAACTAAGGTAATGTTCATTAACACAATAACATTGTCTCAGTGTTGTTTGTTTTGACAGTATTTTCGTCTGTCCGAGATATCGCACTTGCACTAATCAGTACATTAGGTTTAGTAACTCAAAAGGTTTAGTTCTCTTTAGACGTCTTGTTTCTGTTGTATCAAGAAGTTGGATTGCCTCAGCCTATTGCAATATATGGTAAGGACTTAACCACTGCACAGTTTGGGTGCAGAAGAGCCTACTGTACTATAAAATAATATATACGGTAAGCAAACATTGTTAAGAAGAATAATTAATTTTTTAATTTAATTACGCTATGTTTTTTGCTCTCAGTGGTTTGTTTTGTAAGAGTTATAAGCTATACAAAAATGATACACAAAAGGTTAAAGATACAAGGAAGAAGGCTATTTGATACTTTCTTTGTCCCTTGCATCTTTGTTGTATCACAGACGAAAGTTCGTAGTTCTAAAATTAATTTAATCACGCTATGTGCTAGACTTAATTAAGATTTCAATACCTAAGCTAACTCATACGAGATCTTAATTCACGGAAAACATCGTGTAGAAACTGGCCATAGACACAAAAACCTACCTACATCAATAAAAACGAATACGAATAGCCCTGCTTAAAGGGAAATAATCAAAAACTTGACGTTAGCCATTACTATAGCTATGGCGTTGTCTCTGAAACGTGCTTATAAAGTTATTTCGACTAAGGATATATACAGCTTCTCGACTTTAGCTACTGGGGCATTCCAGACACTGGTTAGACTTGAAGATATATTGGAAGAACAGCAGCCTTCCTGCACGAGATATCAACATAACTATCAAAAGATCGAAGCGTCTTTGACAAAATGTTACTTAGAAATAGTGTATTTTACTTCAAACGTTCCAGTGGTACAATATCTTAATATATTTAAATTACGCGTCACGTTGTTTGTCCGCTATGGACTCCTAAGCTACTTAACCGATTTCCATCAAATTTGCACACCGTATGCAGATTGATCTAACTTAAAAGATAGGATAGCTTACATCTTAATTTATACCCGCATTACAATTTTATAGCAAATTATTTGACACAATTCTAACAGATGGCGCTGTGTTGAAAGTACCAACGTTTCCCATAAGCTACAATTTAATGCCATAGCCACCAAAAAGCATGGTGGTCCCCATGTCTGGTGTCCTCCTATCGTTTCCCTTGAATAGTTTACTATGTAATATAATAAAAACCTTAGCCACAGCAACGCTTGGCCGAGTCTGCTAGTTTATAATAAAACACCGCTAGTAATTAAACATGATTTGGTCCAGTATTTCATTGTTAGAAGTACCAGATATAAGAGTCAAATATCACTTAAACATCAGAAACCTGAATTGGGTCATTTTATAGCCATTTTTGCACGTAAGAATGATTTGAAAGAAAATGTGAACAAAGCATATTTATCGATTTTCGTGTCGTTTTTTTCACATAGATGGCGTTGTTTGTCATTAAATACAGATACGAAATTTTCTCTTACGCAAATATTTTTATAGTAAACCATAAAGGAATAAATGGGACAGTCTTGAAATATATTTTTTGCTAATAAAAAATAATAAAACTTACATAATCTTCCAATAGAGGGCAGTACTAGTAAGAGACGAAGAAGTGCGTTTGAACTTGTGCAAAACAATACGCCTAGGGTTTTTTTATAGAACAGGGGGCAAACGGGCAGGAGGCTCACCAGATGCTAATACCGCCGCCCATGGACACTCAATGCCAGGCTCGCGAGTGCGTTGCCGGGCAAAGTGCTTGACCGTGCCTCTTAACCCTGAGGTCAACAATAGATTTACCATGCCCGCCTTTAACACTCCTAGCCACTTTCTAGCCTATTAGAAAAATGATTCAGCAGTATTATGGGACCTTTTTTTAAGTCGTTCCCGGTTCAAAAAATTGCAGATCTCCGTTCAGTGACTGATATAAAAACATACACCCCTACGGTGAACCGATAAGAGCTATCTTTATCGGCACGAACTCGTTATCATTCACATCGTTATTTTTAATCGATGAATCGAGATGGGACACGAATACACGTGCAATCGAATTGATAGCGATCGAATTATTTTACGTAATTATTTCGTCATTGGAGTTTTTTTTTATTGAAAATAAAATATTAAAGAAATTTAAAATTATTTTTTTTATTACAAAGACCTATTTTATAAAATTTTATCGTTATAAATACATTGTTTTTGTATATTATATACAAATACTCGCGAAATAGAGTATTGCTGGATTTGGTCACGTTTAATAATTTTAGGCCGGCAACACACACGCGAACCCTTTGGCATTGAATAAATACCCATAAAAATATATTTTTATGTTATTTGCCTTACTAGAGTTGCCTGGGAGAGATCGCGTGTTAGTGATAAGGCCGCCCATTGCATCCCTACTAATTTATGTTACTATATTTATTAAGTTTAAACTTTAAATAAATAAATAAAACCTTATTTAATTTTAGCCTGCAAGAGTTTTTTTTTAATTCTCGATTATATCTGTAAATATTTTTAAATAAATAATTTTAACTACTCATTGTAGTTATGCTCATTTAAACTTAATTTAAGTAAAATATAATTATCGTGAAATTTCGCTAAATTATTTTTCTTAATTAAAAATCACAACTTTCGTTTAATATAAGCCTTTAATTATTCTTCATTAGCATTTCTACGAAGCGAAATATTTTTAATTTATTTAATAAAAACTGAATTTTTATTTACGTAATTTATTTGGGTGCGATGTTTTATAAGGACTTGTGAGAAAGCTTCAAGTATCGTTCATAAAATTAAGGTAAAAACTCTGACTCCTGACGTGATAATATTAAAAGCGTAAAATTAAGGCCCATCAAACCGGCTTTATGAAAAATCATGAATCAACGCTTGGCTGTGTGCGCGACGCTTAAACTTTTACTTGTAAACTTTCAGTTACAGCTTCCTTCCGGACAACCTTGCGCGCGCGCTCAGTCAGCGCCCGAACGCCGGAGCGAACACACGTACTAGCCGGTACCGCGAGTGATACGCCACGCGACCCGCATGTGCTTTAGTGATCCTTTAGTGCTCTGAAGTGGATACTCGAAACGGAACCGCTGGGCCGATCGGCCCGGGCGGTATGGAATCACCGCAAATGTACGACGCGGCCGGCGCACCGCCGCCGCCGCCACAACCAGACCTCAAGAAGACTAACGACGACAAACGTAACAACTACCAACCGCCAGACTTAGACCCCCGGCACCTAGACTCCGATCTCAATGAACAGGAAATCAGTTTGGACCTACAACACCTCATCGAGGACCAGTTCCGCGGAGAGGAAACGATGGCCCTCTTCCAGGAAATCCTTCCGGGAGGGCGATCACCCCAACAGAGGCCCTTCGCGCGAACTACCTTAGCATATATGCCGCAGCCGGTGCATTCCGGTGCGTCATACGCTGCCCCAGTTCAACCCAATTCACACGAACAAGCACCGCCAATTAAGGAAGAGCCCCCGGAACCACACGATTTCAGAAGATCTGTTACTTGTGCCCAGTATACCGGACAGTACAATCCTCAACCGCCAGTAGGTGTAAGTGGACCATATGGGGGTGGATTTACTCCCTTACCACCACTAGGAGCTCCGCTCCTACCACCTTTGTTAAAGCACAAACCGCCACCCCCAAGACGCTCGTCTGGAAAAGGCCTAGATAAAGGTACTGATGAGTACAGAAGACGAAGGGAACGCAATAATATTGCAGTGCGAAAATCACGCGAAAAGGCCAAAGTGCGTTCTAGAGAGGTGGAAGAAAAAGTTAAAACCTTATTAAGGGAAAAGGATGCCTTGTTAAAGAGGCTAGAGGCCGTCACTGGGGAGTTAAGTTTGCACAAACAAATGTACGTTCATCTGATAAATCTGAATCACCCAGAGATCACGGAACTGTGCAGGTCGATGCTGCAGCTAGGAGCGCCGCATGCGTCGGATCATACGCTCTGACCATAGGTGAGTGTGTGCGCTGTGTCGGTGTGAGTGTGGTTTGCATGTGTGCGGGACGCATGTGTGTGAAAGTCGTAAATCGGAAAAGGATTTGATTTTATGGGACGTTATGCAATGTTTATGACTGCGACATATTTATTTGTATGTAATTCGTGTATTGAAATATATCAATTCACAATACATTTAAATTGGCTTTCAGAATTATATTTGCAGGTTAAATTATTTATTTAAATTTTCGTGAAATCTTAAATATTTATTATAAAAAATAACAAACTTATTAAATGGCTTATACAAATATTATGGTTCTAAAATAGAATTTAAATCTTAATATGTGACGAATATCGTTTTTTGTTTTAACTTTGGACTGTTTTATTTCGCGTACGACCAACCAGGCTCCAGAAGACAAACCACTCCTTATATGGAAATTATATTAGTTTTTTACAACAAACTCCCAAGCGAAATTAGACTATTATCACTAATGAATCATGAATAAATTTAAAACTCTCGTTAAACGTAAGTTAATCAATAAAGCTTCTCATAAATTTGACGAATATTTAAATGATCCTAATCCTTGGAATTGATTTGCTCCAGTTCAAACAATTTTTATGACTCAAAACTTGTCAAAAAGAGTGGCGGAAAGTTTTTGCCAGTTCTTCTTGCCCGCTCTACGCCCTTGACTTGCGAACTGGTAGTAAATGTAAATTTAGAATCAATTTCACATCTTTTCTGTTCACGTTCATAAGTATACTTGGTTTCCTATATTTTGAGTTTGAGTCTAAAAAGCGATTAAAGAAACATAATAAACTTCCTAGTATTAATAACCAAATGACAACAATTTGGTTAAATGACACGAAATAATTAAACGCAATGAGTAATGGACGAACTTATTATCATTCATTAAGAATAAATCAGAATTATAAATTAGGTTGAATTAACATGTATAATCGAAACTTTATTAATGGATATTAAAATATGCACGGCCTAAAGCTCGAAATATATATATTTTTATTAAATCTAATTAAGCTAAAGAAGTTTTAATAAAAATACTATTAAAACATAGAATTGACTCAAAAAATCACTTGACACAAAAACAATTTGTATATTATATATGTATATGTGTATATTGTCTTATCAGTTACGATCTATTGTGTTTTTAACCCTAAAGAAGTGTTATTGAACCCTGGCTAACATACAAAGTGCGCAATAAATACAAGGCGAAAACAAGAGAAAACTGACTTAGACCCAAAATTGTCTCACGTGACCACGACTTTTGCATTTAAAAATGGCGCGATTTCATACAGTTCACTCCCAATACTAAGTAACGATCGTGCAGCTCATCAGTGGGGTCGTAGGTTCGATCCTCGGCTGTGCACCTTTCGCTCACCCATAGAAAGTCCATTGGTGAAGGTAAATATCAAAAATGAATTAATCAAAAAACACTTTGCCTATTAGAAGTGATTACGGAACTAACACAGAAATTTGAGGCCCAGACCTAAAAAGGTTGTAGCTCCATTGGTATGTGATACATATATGTATAAAAGACCAGTGGCGCTCATGGTCCTTTGGCCCTTTACTACTTAATACGTATGCTAATGATTACCCCAACGCCCCTGTAGGAACTACCCGAGGTGTTTTTAGAGGTTACCCAATCTCTGAATGATTCTAGTGAGGACCCCGCCCTCGTTAAGGGGTAGGGGTGTGTCAATACATTTCCAAATCAGTAATAAAAATGGCCAAAGCAACCCTTTTTATTCCCAGTATTTTTAGAATAACTTGAGTCATTTTCCTCACGTTTCAATGTTTTTACCACGTGTTCGTATCAGATGTTTACTATAAATATTATAGCGTGAGTAACTCAACTCGTTACTAAGAAAAACAAAAGAAACGCGGGGCAGACAAGCAAGATGAAAAGTCGGGCAATTTTTCTCAGGAGTCGAATCTAGGTACTGATAACGAAGGTAAAAATAAAGCTATCAATAATTAACCAAATTACATAAGTAAATACGACAAAAATAGTCATACAATTTCTAATATCAAAATCCAAATTTTTACTTAGGTCTAAATCTAAAAATACACATTGTTCAAAGATGAAATCGCGTGGAAAAGTGACTAACTTAACACCGAACTTTTGAAAAGGAAACGTGACTCGATTCACGTTGTTAACTTGACACCATTTTTCGTTTTAAATTTCTTGTATTTGCTTATAATTTCAGGAATATTTGACGTCAAGCGAAATTTGTGCTTTGTATATAAATTCGATTTCCGATGATATTATTATATAAGTACTTTTCACTGAAGTATTTCCGAACCTATTCGACCTAGGCCGGCAACGCACTCGCGAGCCCTACTCTCACATTTGCTTCTTGCTCTATAAAAAACTGTTTAATTAGATTTTGAAAAACAGCAATTTTGATTAGTTAATAAATTAATAAATAACGCTATCTAAAAAAAAGACCCTCGTTTTTCGTCCTAACAGACTAAAAAGTTACCCGAAAGAAATTAGATATTGAAACTAAAAATTTATTGAAACTTCTTATATTCTAGTTTTTGAACGAGACATAGCCCGTACTATGGACTCCTGAATATCAAAATCCAATAGACTTCTTCTGAATCTTACGTCTTTATTCAGCTACTAACTTAATAATAATAAAAATGATACCAGCTAGTAAAGTCATATTAGTCTTCTCCAATATATTCGAATGACCTGAAATTCGTCCGAAACATACGAAATCCGTATTTACATCCGACCTACCACACAAAGCAAAGGAATCGTGAATTTCGTATTGAAATTTGTCCGTGCAAAACGGCATAACTTTCATTTTCGCTTTACATTATGCAATGAAAAATAAACCGCACGCCCTATACACACGGTGCTTATTGGCTTGGGTGAGTTAAAAATTTTCGCTGCCTGTCCTAGATACAGCTGATATGCTTACATTACTTTTAACGTATCCTTAGTTGAAATTCTCTCATCTCAAATGATTTCTAAGTTAGAAAACCGTATTAAACCGGAAGCGCTTTAAAACATGCGCTAGATTTTAAAACTTAAATTATATCTATTTAATTTAAATATAACAATTTATTACCAACACAGAAATATACAGTGTTTACGATATTTTGGTCCCTGTGGCAGTGTACCTACGCTGGCAGCATTTCATCCCTGTATTGCGACACTTATTAATTGTACTTTACGGTATTAACAATCTATCTAGTCTATTAACTTATGTACATTGTAAGAACATTTATAGAATCAGTCATTCCTCATTTGTCAAACGATGTTATTTATTAATTAATTTAATAATAGTACTAATAATATATCCAAAATATATAAATGGTAATCAAAGACAAAATTACATATGTATGTGTCATTTAATCAGCAAAAGAATTGTTCTGAAAATATCTGACCGATGAAAAAGTAATTTTGATATTTTTGTTTGATTTATCGCTAATAGTGTTCTTAAATTACCCTAAGATTTATTTAATTATAAAAGTTTATTCACTTGTAAGTTCAATAAGGTTTATAGGTGAAAATTTATTTATTACGTTATCGGATAAATTAACTTTTAGTATTAAATAAAAAACATTTAGATTGTATTAAGCAAATATAGCTTTGTAATTTATTCCAGTTAGTATTAAAATATAATAGCAAGTACCAGGAAGCTTATAAGAACAAGTAGGTTGAATCTTATGTCATATATATGTCTAAATATATAAAAACCCTAGACATATAGACAAAATTTTCCCATTAAAACCGGGCTATGTAAAAGAATTGTATGAAACCTATTCCCAATTTTGCTTACATAATTATATATTTTCAACATAATTTAAACTTCCTTTTAAATACGACACGCCTTCGATATCGCATTTCAATAAATTGTTTGCAGTAAATGCATAATACGATTATATAATTTGATATTCATTTCTATGCTGCTGGCATTTAAATAATGATAGATAGCGATTAGCGAGTAATAAATGTATAAATTATTTTCTCTAATAGTCACCTTTTTTATAAAACGTATGGTGAGTTTTATTAAAAAAGCATCTGTATATTTAGGCATTTATATGAATTGAAATACCTGCTTGATCTTATAAGTTCCTGGTACCTGCCATGATATGAAATCAACCGACCCATTGTTGTTTTTTTTATGAAAACGCATCGAAAGGATCTTTTTTTGTTTTAAATATATATATACATATATAATATACGAAAATAATAAAATCTAGGATAGTTTGGTTTATTCGAAATTAACCCGACAGACAACTGATGATTCAGCCAAATTGTTGTTATTGTGTGCGTGCGTTGTGTAGGTGTGCGTGGAGCTTTCACTTTTTTTCGTGAATATACCTTTTGTGTTTTGGATGAGTGTATGCAATAAAGAGAAAAATATTATTTTATTTACATGTGATAAACGCGCGATTGTGTGTTCTGTGCCTCAAAAACCTGAAAGTCGTGTATTCCGCGACGACTAATAACGATTGCAATTCCAACGTTTTTCTCGTTGTTCTCCTAATATCCGTAACCTTGGGATACAAAAACACACAATTGAATTCGGAATCGCGTGCTCTATTAGAAGTTACAGCTTTTATGATCAAGTCGCAAGTCCAAACACGCTGTATTTACATTATATAGTAAATTACTATGTATTTATATACAGCTAACATATGAAATACTGCAATTATATCGTTAGGAAATGAACCTTCACGGGGCATTGATCTGTAACACTTGATGGACGTAAAAAGTGCTAGTGATGCTTTTCCAGCAATTAAACAAACAAACCAAGCAATAAATTCGTACAACACAGCGCTTCCATCGCCATATTATGGACGATTTTCAGCGCTAAATCCGTGTTTAGAGTAAGATAAGAATTCCTCCAACTTTGATTTGTTCCCTTTGGAGTAGACTCTTGGCGATAGATAGTACCGGTGACCACGGAGCTGGTGCTTTCCTCGCTCAATAAACATCGCAATACAGCGAGGAAATGCTGCCAGCATTAAAGGTACACAGGGACCAAACTTTTTCAATTTGTTGTAACTGTCTATTAATTAAATTTATAAATATTAAACAGCAGTTACTGAAAAACAAAATTGTTTATTAATTAAACAAAAAAAAGACAAACACTCATAACATATAAAAATAACTTAATTTTAGGAATTTAAAAAGTACCTATCTATTATCTCAATTCTCTACTTGGTCTTTGATTCATAAAGCGCCTTTCCGCTGGCTTACAAGAAATGACCGCGGTGCCAGACAGCGCCCGCGCACCGTTTCGCAACCTGTACGGAATGTGTGTCAAACGATCGCCACGCAAGAACCAGCTAGAATCAATCACGTGCTTTGTTTTCACTTTCCATGGACTTTACTTAACTCAGAATATAATGTTTTTGTATTAATGCACCGCCCCCGATGTTTTGAGTGGAATTTCCGCCGCAACCTTGGAATAGCTCGGTGCACATGGGCACGAATTTAATCACCCTTTAAATAGCTACATACAATTTTTAGAAACTTTTTAATCAGTTTGGCTTATGATTTTTTAAGTTTAAAAATAAATCTTTAAACCTTTAATATACCCAAGTAATAAAATTATGTACGGCGCTGTGTTGCATAACATCTGCGCAGGAGTCGAGTAGGCTGTTGGAAAGTTTTGGGGAAATCGGCCGAGTATTGTACGCTTTTTGTCAATAGGGGCCAATTAAACTTACCTCTAGGTATTTTAACAATAATATTTGTTTTTAAAATACAGTTGAGATGATGTTTAAAGTGTAAGCCGCGAACAAATAATTCAAAATAAACATTCTAATTATAAATAAAACAAATGGAAATATTGAAACTTTTAGAAAAATCTTGTAACGTGACCAATAGTAGGGAAATTTTGTTATCACGTTGTTGGCCTTACGCTTACTTAACGGACCGCAAAACGTGACACAAAGAATATTTTTATTCATCAAAATTATTCTTACTTAAGATTTAGATTTTGAATAATAATTCAGTGGCGGTACAACCCTTAGGGGCCTCAGATTGCAACCATTTCTTTGATCATTTTTGAATTTGAGATATGCCGGTTTCTTCAACGAGAGGGCCCGTCTTGCTCGTCTATTCTTATTGATATATTCTGAGCTTTACACCATTTCTCTCCTGCTCCTTCTATTCTTATTGAACTATTCTGAGCTTCACTCGATCTAACTCCTGCCCCTTCTATTCCTATTGATTTATTCTCACCTTTACACCATCTGTGTCCTGCTCCTTCTATTCCTCTTGATCTATTCTGAGCATCACTAAATCTCTCTCCTGCCCCTTCTATTCCTATTGATCTATTCTGAACTTTACTAAACTCTTTCTCCTGTCCCTTCTTATCTTATCGATTATTGAACTTTACTCAATCTCTTCTGTTTATTCTATTTTTATTGATCTATTCTTTCTATTACTAACAAAACTTCATCTCTAAACTCATCTAGGTTGTTTGTGATCGTTTCAAGTTGAGTGCAGTATATTCTTTACATGAATAATTTTCTCTTAATATAAGTAATTACCACGTTCTTCATTATGTATTATATAAAGAGCGAGGTCTTCCAAAATAAAATTGTCTTTGAAAATCCTAGTTAAATTTATCCTTTATTTAACGAATCGAACGAATTCCCTAATTGTGTAAAATATTATATCGTTCAAGGCAATCATACTTCCGGTTCCTTATCAAATGGTCAGTCAAAATTAACTAAATTAATAACTGTTGTGATTCGCACATGAATTTATCGTTTAAAGCGTTTCATAGCGTTTTTGTCATCCGCAGACGTCTAAATCGTTACCCCATTGATAAATGGGGCATGGGACACATTTCCGAAGCTGATAATATTTGTTTTACGCAACGTACAGTCTGGGACACGTATCCAACGATTTAGGGTCCTTCAAAGAGGATACCACCTTCTAAAAGGCCGGCAACGCAGTCGCGAGCTCTCTGGCATTGAGAGTATCCAACGTAAGAGTATTTTATAAAAAAATGCGTGTTTTCTCAAGACGTTTTCCTTTACCATGCTTAATCTATTTAGACTTTTTTTATTATTCATACTATATATATAACAAGGGTTCTCACAAAACTTTCGTCTAAGGAAAGTGACAGCCCTATATAGTTTAACTATTTTCCCAGCGTGCAGTTATCTCAAGTACGCTGTATCTAAAGTACCGGATAGTGATTCATACAATAACTGACATTTTAATGCTATTTTTTATGTTGCGTAGAGAAGGGGTATCAATTACTAGATAACTTCGAAGCTTTTGAACTTAATTTTACGAAAATCTAACAGGGACTGAACTGATATGTGACCTCAAAAGAGAAAGTCATAGACAAGGTTCCGAGACGAGATAGCGCGAACTATGACTCGTGTGTCAGCTATTTTTTTGACAAGAAATACATAGCGGACCGATACATTCTTTAAGTTTACATAATAATAATCTTATATATAAAATTCTCGTGTCACAATGTTAGTCTGCATACTCCTCCGAAACGGCTTGACCGATTCCTCTGAAATTTGGTAAGCATATTGGGTAGGTCTGAGAATCGGCTAACATCTATTTTTCACACCCCTAAATAATAAGGGTGGTCCACCCCTCAATTTTTTTTTTTCATTTTTTTGACAAAATTTTTTTTTTATTTTTTTATGATACGATATTCAAAAATACATACAACCCTTAATTGTCACCCCTCTACGTTCAACCCCTATTTTTTGTTATAGTAGATAGTTATTTTTATTGAACTAAAACATGTGTCCTAGAAATACCATACATGGCAAAACGACGTTTGCCGGGTCAGCTAGTTAGTTTATAAATTTTATTAGCGTAATTTTATAAATTTTTTTAATCGAAAAACGCTGACATCTAATATATAAAATTCTCGTGTCACGGTGTTTGTAATTAAACTCCTAAGACATGGCTCGACCGATTTTCGTTTATTTTGTGTGCATATCGGTTAGGTCCGCGAATCGGATAACCTTTATTTTTCACCCTTAAATTTTTATTTTTTTGGTCAAATTTTTAATTCTTATTTTTTTATGATACAACATACAAAAATACACAAAACCCTTAATTTTCACCCCTCTACGATTAAACCCTATTTTTTATAATAGTAGATCTTTATTTTTATTGAACTACAAAAATGTTACCTAGAAATAATATACATGGCAAAACAACGTTTGCCGGGTCAGCTAGTTTACTTTATAAAAATGTATTTCTCTATTTAGATATTAAATAAATGTAATGGCACAATGGAACAAGTTTGTCTCTTTCCAGCGTCAATAATTAGCCAATAAGAGAGGAAGGAGTGCTTGAAGACTGATTTAGTTTAAATAAACGATAGTTCATAGTAAAAGTTGACTGGCGTCTTTCTGTATGAACACAAAAAAACCAGTGGCAATAAAATCTTTTTGATCTGGGCCTCAGATTTTTGTATCTGTTTCATGATCATTTGTCAATCTAATATGCAAGTAGATGATAAGCGTCCTGTTCCTGACTCATGTCGACTTTTTGGGCCTATGGCAAGCCGATTTTCTCACGATGTTTTTCTTTACCATTCAAGCGAATGCTACATGCGCATAGAGTCCATTGGTGTGCATCCGGGGATCGAACCTACGACCACAGAGAGTCGCTGAAGCCAGACCAACACTGATTTGTGTATCATACAGTATTTATCTTGATTGAAATTGTTATTGATAGCTAAAAATTTGTAAAATCCGCGATTACTGATATAAATCAGTAAAGCCAGAGTTCTTCTCAATCGATATCTCTGCTTTTGTTTGTTTGTTTATCGATACGGTAACTGTGTCAGTGCTATCAACACGCGCCCTACATATCCCTGCTTGATATGGGGATTGACTTGATCTCTGTTAAAAAGTTTTTTTAATACAGATCTGGACAGTCCTTTGTTCACAATCCTAGTTGATGTTACGTCAGATGTAGCCTATTGGAGATGCCTATTTAACCGCTGCTTTAAATTAATAAATAAAAACGAATGTATTAAACGTACTACTTATTTATAAAAAAAATTTCAATAATTGTGACCACGACTTGATTCCTCCAAGTTATTCATATACGTACTCCCACAGCTAACAAAATAATAATAATTCCATACAAAACATATTCTTAGTTACAATAAGTCTACGTTCCGTTATTTCCCTTACCCCGTTTTCTGCAGTTAGTCGGTTAGTCTTTACCCCTTTGGGTAAAGTCCTCCTGGGCTTTCCATTTCGATTTGCTTTCTCCATCCATTTTTCCCCAGAAACCTTTATGATATCAGCTCAACGTTTTTGTTGTTTAATTTTCATATTTTGTCTGTACAATATGACCTGTACCTTTCGGCTCAAATAGTTTCATCCCGTTTTATCAAATTGTGTTTACGCTGTGTTGAAGAGGGAGGTTACTTTACTCCTTCATTAGTACTGAAGGTCGTGAAATGCCCGAACCGATACTTGTTTCTGGTGGACCCTTGTCTCAGGGCATGAATGTAATAATAATAATAAAAGCCCGTGTAATTTCCAACCATTACAAAAACATTGTTACATACAGATTAGATTTGATATTTTTTTTTATTTATCCTATATCCTAGCTACCTTCAGTACCGTCGATGGGAACCCCTTCTCTAGCTTTTTCCAACTAACTCTGTTCATGGCTTCTCAATTCGCTTCCTTCTACCGCTTCTATTATCTATCAACCTTTTTTTTGGGGCGCCCTTTTCTCCTTCCTCCTTAGTTGTCTTTACCACCTTGTATTTGTGCATTTTGCTATATGCCCCGCTCATTGCCACTTCTGTTTGAGGGCATATGAGGCATCTATCACTTCTGATGGATGAGACCCATAATTGTCATAACTTGGAGCAACGAGGAAATAAAACTGGTTAAACAATTTAGTAATAGTTTACGAATGGAAACTTCGAAATTATTTTTTTTTTTAAAGACAATTCACACCAATTGACCTAGTCCCATTCCCAGATGGTGAAGCTTGTGTTATGGGTACTAGGCAACGGATATACATACATATTATATATAGATAGACATATAAATACATATTTAAACACCCAAGACCTAAGCACAACACCAAATGCTCATCACATCGATGTTCGTCTCAGCCGGGGATCGAACCCGGGACCCATGGATTCGCAGACAGGGGTACTAACCAACCGACCAATGAGTCGTCTAATTTTCAAATTGTTTCATTATTTACATTAATGTTGTTATTATTTGTGAAAGCTAATAATAATTTGGAATTTCAAATATAAATGGACGTTAGGTACAACGTGATTCCGCCGCGAAGCCTTTAAAACAACAAGAACAAGCCTTTTCCTCAATGTTGTGACACCTTGAAATTTATTGTTTGTATTATAATAGGAACTTTTGGAAATATTTATAATTTTAACTGGCTTTATAAAGAGCCGTGCTGGCCTAGGGTGTGTGCAGTTCCACAGTGTGTGTGTCATACCTGAGGTAAAAATTCGAAAGGCTGTGCTTGGACTAATAACACACGGAAACAAAGGAAAACAAAACTTGATTTAGACCCAAAATGTCGCCGTGCCAGGCACAGGCTATATAATATTTGCTTAAAAGAATATAAAATAATTAAGAAAAAGATATATCTGAGGCCCAGACCTAAAAGATAGCACCAGTTTTAACTGGCATCATAGTAAATCACGCTCTGGTTCTTGGCCTGTCTTCTGTATTTTGAAATTTTTTGGCTTTTTTCGGGATCAAACGGGAGTCTTATTACTACTCCAAGGTTCTATTTAGAGTTATCCGAAGGTGTTTCTAAAATGTTACTAAAGTAATTTTGTTATTTTAAATATCGTTAAGAGGAGAAAAATTGTGAGCTGAAATCTGTTCTTGTAGCAAAAAGTTAATGTATTTCAAATGTCAAATATTACGTGCAATCAACACGCCGAACATGCGCCGAATGCTCACGGTTTGATGCGCGCACGCACTTTCACTACGCGCGTGTGTGTGTGAAGGTGTGGCGTTCTTTTTTTACTTGTCCCACATTTAGTGCTTACGTCACTTGCGTTGATCCCGCGTGCAATGTCATCACTTATGTAATGCACTTTTTGTTTGATTATTATGAACGAATTCAGTCTGAATTAAACCCTAATAGCGTGTTGATTGCACGTATATATAGATAACAGAATTGTCATAGAGTCACAAGGTCTATAATTTCAGTAGCTAGAATATCTATGCCGAAATTATTTTATTAGTATAATAGCGGAACCGACAATCTCCTGTGCCCACGTCTTATATATGCATCATTTAAATGAAGCTAAAAAAACAAACGAAAAATTGTCTAATTGGAAACTATCTCAAAGATTTGTAAATCCACTTGAGCTTGTTTAGGAGAAGTTTGATTACAAACACAGAAGAAATATAAAACTAATAAATATAGTTTAAAAAAACTAAAAAACACGCTTTTAAAGCACATCAAACTAAAAAGTGAAAAATAATTCCTAATTTAGGCGGAAAATGGTAATGAACAAAAAATACTGGTATTATTGTGAAAAAGCGTGGGTTGCTCGATAGACGAAAAATATGGCACAGAGCGCGCGATTGGAAAATTTATTCATATATTTTTACTATTATACGCTTCTTTATTATATTAAAACCTGATTCCCTGAACTTCCACGAATATTTTAAGATCAAAATTAGCCGAATCGTTCCAGCCATTCCAAGTTTTAGTGAGACAAACGAACAGTAATTTTTATATACATTGTTGTTTACCCTATTTTGAAAATAAATGTTTCGTTGAGATAAAAAAGATTTCCAATTTTATTTCTTTAATATTTTTTAAGTTAACGTTTGAAACAAAGCGTACAAATCTCCGTGTATTTTCTCTGCAATTAATAATTATTAATATTTTAATAGAATCAGCTACCAATAATAAATACTAACACAGACACTACCTGTGCTCGTAATATAAGAGTATTAATAACATCGTATAACGAAAAATCTCCCAAAGTTCGCTAGAGCGCCATAAAAAATAAGTGAATTAAGGTCAATGCACTGTGAGAAGGCAATGCACTCTGCTGCACCAAATTTTGATAAATGTCACTCACCATAAAACTAGTATGCTCATTATCTAAATTTATTTAATTAGACAAGCTTTGATAAGTATATAAAGATGAATTATTTATTTGTTTCCAACACACAAATATAAAGTATTAACAATATTCTTAACCTACGTAACAATTTAAAATTGATAAATAGAAATAAAATGTTTGGTCCCTGTGGCAGTGTACCTTCAAGCCATTTCCACGTTGTATTGCGATACTTATTCGTTGAGCGAGGAAAGTACTAGATCTGGGGTCACCGGTAAATCACCAACTTAAATCTTTAATTAGCGCCTGTGCACTTGAACGACGGCCCAAGAGTCTTTACTCCAAAGGGAACAAAATTTGAGGCAATATTTTATTTGAATCGGTAATTATTTTTCGCCTGCTCTACATAGTGAATTTCCTTAACAATTGTTTACACAGTCAATATTTTTCTAAATTAAAACTGTATACTATTTGGTTTCGAATTCCTCCACGTTTGAATAATTATTATATTTTAGAAGCAAGTCAGTTAAAAAATAAATCAGTGGCGCTACAACCTCTTTAGGTCTGGGCCTCATGAATCTGTTTCATGATCATGTTTTCAATCTAATAGGCAAGTAGGTGATCAGCCTCCAGTGCCTGACACACGGTCGGTTTCCTCACGATGTTTTCATCATCGTTCGAGCGAATGTTAAATGTGCACATAGAAAGAAAGTCCATTGGTGCACAGCCGGGGATCGAACCTACGACCCCAGGGGTGAGAGACACACACTGAAGCCACTAGACCAACACTGCTCTTAGTCTTTTCTTAGTAAGGCTAAAAATGGATGAACAACTGGGGATCCAATGTCTACTTCGCAAAACTCTGCATTAATACAAGCATAGACTCAAACACATGGTAAAGAAATTGACATAACCATACCATAAACAAAGATGTAATTGTCAAACTATACTTGTCGAATGTTACAAGTAATGAAGCACTTATTTAAAATTCTAATCAACCTTTTATAAAGTAATTCTATTTGACCGAAAAATTTGCAAATCTGTGGTGATTAACCAGAGAGTAAGGAAGTAAACATCTGTTAACCTCGTGTCATTTGTCAAAACTGGGCATTGACATAATACCGCCAAATGCGGACCCAAAATTCCAATTTCAAAGTGATTACATCAACTTGAACTAGTAGCAGCTTCGCACGTCCCACTTTCTATAGCATTTGAGTTTAACCGCCAAAAATTGTTGCATAACTATGAACATTGAGTCTCTGGGCTTATGCAACTCTTGCGCAAATGTGAAAGTTCTTCCGCGTTATGTAACTTGTCTTACTAACACAGTTTGTGCTTGCCCTATAAATTAGGTTTTTGAATGTTCTTGAAAAGGTATGCATTTAAAATGTGACCATTAGGGAACTATTTTTTGAACTATTTAAATATACGAGAAGTTATTATGATCAGTTGCAAAAAACAATTGGCCAGTTATTTCGTCTTACAATGTACTCAAAATACGTAAGCGGACTAGTAAATAAATGACCGGTAAAAATGATGGAATGGGCAGTTTGATAAATAGTTCGGCAGTTTTAGGTTAGGTTTAGAATAGCTCACTCGTAACTGCCCATTTTTTAATTATTTACGACTCGTTTACTTTACTATTAAGTTTTAACTGCCGAACTTTTGACTAAATATGCATTTTGTAATTTACAACTGTCGCGTTAAATCAGTGCCATAAATTTGGTATTGCATTTCTGACGTTCCGTGTGCTTTGGTCACAACACAGACTATCAAAACTTTACAAAAAAAAGGGTGGGTGTACTTATGTAGACGCGTAAGAAGTTATACTTCTTTGGCATTATTAAAAATAGTTTTTGATTGCATGCATATAATTAATTACAATTAAATAATCAAAGACTGGAAAAGGAGTCATTATAGTCAATAAAGTTCAGTTTACATTTGAATAATTATATAAATAAATATTTATTATTATTCTCTTACATTAAGTGTAACATAAATTCTATTATTATTCGAATGTTCATTCTCTCCATTAATTCCATTCGAACAACTAAAAATCACCACTATCATTTACAAACGGGTGCTTAGCTACTTTGGCCATATTGAGAACCGATTACTCTCGACAAGTTGGTAGGGAGTGATGACAGTAGAAGTCGGGGCCGATCGCCTACTCGTTGGTCTGACCAAATAGAGACAA